ACTTAGAACAAGCTTAGCAAAGCACAGGGACCGCGGTTCAATCCCCAGCACCACATGCCAGCCAGCCCCGCCCCCTGGTGGGCTGAGCTGGCCCCACACACACACACAAATAAATAATTTTTTTAAATAAATAAATAAATAAAGATATCCCTCAGGAGCCAGGGAGATGACTCAGTGGAATAAGTACTTGCCTGGCAAGTGAAAGGGCCTGAGTTCAATCCCCGATTCTGCAAAAAATATATATAAATAAAAAATAGTAAAGATATCCCTCATTAAGCCTTCATTTGAAGCTTTTACAACTATAACTAGAGACGTTGTGCACACAGTAGTTTATACCTACATATTGGAGATCCAGGGCTCAGTGCTTCTGCACATACATTAGGATGAATTTTATCCCATATTAAAACAGGAATAAAACAAATATTCTGGTTAAACTCAAGAAACAAATGTGACACCAAAACTACCGTGTTAGCTCTCCAATACTGTAATGAAATACCCGAGGCAGCCTAACTTTTTTGCAAAGGAAAGAGGTTTACTTGTCTCACTGCTTGGGTACTAAAGGGCATGGCACCAGAATCGGCTCTTCCAGTGAGGACCCGCTTGGCTGTATCACATCACAACAGATGGTGTGGTGGGAGCACATGCAAGGAGCATGCGTGAGTGCCTGCAATCGTGTTGCCAAAGCAAAGTCAGAGAGAAGGAAAAGAGGCCAGGCTCAAGCTTTTTATCGACACTCTTGTGAGAACTACCTTAATTTCTTCTTAATAGCGACATCCTCAACTGGCCCAAGGACCTTCCACTGAACCCATCTCTTAAGAGTCCATATCATCTCCCAATAATAATGTTACTTCCAACACATGAAATTTTGGAGCACACCCAAATAAAGCGTATGCAGATAAGTCAGTAATCCACACAAGATGATGGATTAAAATGCTGGTGACAAGAGAAAAGATTTCAAGAAAAGACTGATGTGCCATTTCCTTGCAGATGACCTATTTTCTCTGCAAAAAAGGGGGTGATTCTACTCAGATGAATGCCAGTGTTATGTGAGGTACTATAGCAGAGAGGAGAGGCTTACAGTTTAATAGAATGAAAGGAAATGGTCCAGGGAAAAACGGAGAACCTACTAACGTTGGATACTCTTCCCTTTTAGATTTTTGTGTTGGTACATTTGTAATACAAGTTGAGTACATTCATCGTTGGGTGTTAGTATGTATACACGTCACATCTTAGTCCTTCTTACTTCCCTTTTGTTTTTTAATTTAATTTGATTTTTTTCTGTATTGGGGATTCAACCCAGGGCTTTTACACTAAGCTCAATATCCTGCCCATTTTTTAATTTTGAGACAGGGTCTTGCTAAATTGCCCAGGCTAGGTTTGAACTCACTGATCTTCTTT